ACGATAAGAGTGTAGAGTGTATATTTATTTATTTTATTAATTTGAGTTTTTAATTTTAATTTTATTATATTTAAAAATTATAAAATTACATATCTACTTAAATTGAAAATTTAAATTCGTAAATTAAACGAAATTAATATTTATAATTTTAATCAACGCACACCTTTCTATTTGAAAGGGACTAAAGTACTCTGAAAGAGGCTATTATATCCTCTTTGGCATAGGATTGAATAAGCAACTGATGCACACTAAGCTGATTATCATCTAATTATTGTGGTTTTATATTGACCAAGATTATAACTGATTTTTAAGTTTAACCAATGTGTTTTTTTCCCCCTACAACTGGATTAAGTCTAGAAAAATTTGTTGGTTCCCAAATTGGATATCGATCTAGATATAATGACAAAGAAAAATCATAGTCAGACACTAATTAATTTTATATACACGCGCAATTTCATTCTAGATCATTGATTATCATCACCGATATCAAATTATTGATCATGACATGATGTTTACTTATGATTTCATGGTGCAATATATATCATTCAGGTGTCCACCTCAACACAATGCGACAAAAGCATTAGAGGGTCCAACTTAAAATTTTTTTACTTCATTACGGCAAAGGTACAAAGGTTTGGACCACCGGAGTGATCATTGATTAGTCTGAATCATGAAAGGTTCGAATAAACGGACACATGTACAAAGGGTCGCACCTAGTTAAGGAAATCTTTTAAGATGATCTTATGTCATCGATGTGAAAGGAACAAGAGAAAAGCTCCAACCAGAAGAGTTATAACAAAGCTCGACGCATATAGATATACCTTTAAAAATAACATGAGGTGGGGTTTTGTTACTTAGTTTGGCACTGATTCTTATTGGGGGTCAAATATATAATATTATTTGGCCAGGGACGTTTCCGTTACACTTCCCTTGGGTCTACAAAAAGAGCTTTTTCTCGTTGAGTTTTTGTCAAGTATTCGTAGAGAAACCTCCTCCTCTCTTGAACATCATCATTCTTCAAGGCCTTTATGCACCACAAATCCTCCGGGCACAGCAATTTCCAATGTGGGATGTGATGTCTGACCTCGTCCTGATCCCCAACTTCAGTCACTATTACCTTACAATCCTTGGACGCCATGGCCATGTTGTGCACGAACTGGCAAAGCGTCCTGACCATCTTCCCCGCCAACGGCCCTTGCCCATGGACTCCATACATGAAGTAGAACCCGAACGGGTCGAAGAAATCCGGCAACGAAGGAAGCAACTTGAAGCATGGAAAAAACCTGCTTATAACTCTACTACCCTTGGTAAATATCAAGCACGATAACGGCGCTTTCCCTAGCCACAGCTTGAAAACTTCCCCAGTGTTCCACACGCTAAGCATAGCCCAACTCGTTGGAAGTACTTTTCCAGTACTATCCCATGAAGATTGATCTCCTTTAGAGTAGGCAATCCAAGTTCCCAAGCTGAGCTTATTCCCCAGAATCTTGTCTATGTCATGAGGGAAAAACTCAATGGAAGCCATGAACTTTCTGTAGAGCGACTCGGCGTCTTCGATCCTGAGCTTCGCAATCTCGACGTTGGAGGAGATGTGTGAGGGTCGGTTCTGAACTGGGTTGACGAGAATGGCCGGAGTTCTGAACTTGTTGTAGCCGAACTTGTCGACGAAAAGCCTAACGGAGGCCTCGTTTTCTTTCTCGGTAGCCATGTAGGAGAAGTCGATTTCGTTGGCGACGAACCACTTCTCTAGCTCTCGGACTAGGCTCGAGCCAATCCCTTTTCGTCGTTGGCGCGGCGCGACTCTCAGGCCTAAGATGTACCCCACTTTGGCCATATCCTTTGGAGGTTTGTTCATCATCGTAACCACTTTTATAGAGCCTTGAATGACCCCAACTAACTCGTTGTCCAACTCAGCCACCTAAATGTGACAATCATAAACCAAAGTTTGGTGTATATGTTAATTATTGTTTCAATATTTCTCATCCGATAAGACATCATTAGAGACAACAAGGGTAATGCGCACATTATCTTGTATTAATTGTATTGGTTTTTTTATTTTTTGTTATTTGTTTTATGAAATATTTCAAAGAATTAGGAAGAAAAGAGAAAGGGCTTAATAAGGGAAATTCATAATTTACCAGCATCTTATACATGGGACTGTTCCGGATCCTACAGATGGGGTCACCCAGAGTGTCTGTGAAGAGAAAAACTCGTTCGGTTGGGCCTACTTCGCATCGTCTTTCGAGGTCCTCGACTCGAGCTCTGTCGATTCGCCTGTCGTAGCTCCGAATCATAGGCTGCTTGAATCCCATTCTACGCACCATAGACGAGTATTATTTGTAGTAGTTGTTCTAGAGAGAAGAGAAGCTGCAATTTGTAGTATAATAAGACCAAGAGATTCATGAATATGCGAAAATAGACTCTTTCTAGGTCTCAACTCCCAAGTGATCAGCACTAGTACAATATGAGAAAACCAACAATAAGAAGTACTATTGTTGGAGAGAGCTTGGCCTTGAGAGAAACTTCCCGTGAAGATCATGATCACTTATATATATACACACACAGATATATATATATATATATATATATATGGGGGGAGAGTTGGAAGAGGGAAATTAACTTGGCATGACCAAGCTAAGGGAATGTTGGCTATCATGTCATGATCACCAACATCAACCTAGGCTTCAAAAAAAATTTAATTATACTAGACAAAAGGTGATTAATTATAGAATGTGTTTTTTTGTCTCTCTAGCTATAGCTTTTTATTCTTATTTTATTTTTTTTTGTTTGTCGATCGATATAGTTGCGTAATAATAATATTAATATTGTAAGCTTCATTTAAGCCAATCCACGTTAGGATAACCTCAGGCTCACGCCACTCTGCACGCCTAAGAATATGTGTCGCTGGCCGACTCCAATTCGTTATCTAATAAAATAAACAAGATTTATTAGGTACCAATTAAAAAAAAAATCGTTTCAAGTACTATATTTTTTTTCTTTTTGGTCTAATATATAGTAATCTCAATACACGTATACGTACCACCAAACTAACCCTATTCTTGGATACGTACCGTACAGTCGACATCCCCAAACAAAAATATCTAATTAGAATCTAATGATGGATTAACCAAGTCCAACCGATTGTTAACAGAAAGCTTTGTGTTATAATCAATTGATTACAATATAGTTAAATCACATCAAATGGAATAGGAGATGGCATATATGCTAGTTCACCTAATTGAAGAGCTTAGATTGCGTCGGCGTGGCTACGTGTATGCCTTATGATGCATGGTAGACACATATATATGATTTCGTGGTGGGGTAATTAATTAATTAGTAGTGAAGGGTTTAGCTAATTAGTTTAAGGTGCTTTTGGAGAAGGGAAAAGGGAAGAGAAAGGAAGGGAGGTCACTTTCTATGGACACTATATTTTTGTATATGGCACTATTAAAACCATGTTTTTTTTTTTTTTTTGGGTTTTACTTGGGGGTTTCTAGGAATGCTGGTTGGCTCAATGTGGTCCATCACCTCCTTTTAGATACTTAGATTAGATTCCAAAGTGGAAGTGAAACCCCCACTATAGCCATGCCTCAATTTGTTCTAATGTATAAGTTAATTTCCTTGATTATAATCATAATGCTTTTGCCTAACGCACCTTAAGGTGCGTAAAAAATTAGCCTTATTGTCCTCGACAAAACTAGAAGATGAAGAGAAACTTGGTAATGGAAGATGATGAGTATGACATGCATTAATGCAATTTAAATGGATTATGATTACTTTGGATGTTATTGATCATATTTATCCGAAAAAGTTGGGTTTTCATTTTTTTGTCAGAGCAATATAACACACACACACACACATATATTATATAGTTGAGGGAGACTAATTATTGTCACGATTATTCTCTCACTGTGTTTCTAATCTTTTTGTTTTCTTCTGCCTTGTCATGTTTTTTCGGTTAATTGATGTTGTGTACGTTGAAAATAATTAGTGTACCCTACCCTAAATTAAGTAACTAAAACTGACACACACAAGTAAGATAGATAGTGTAATAACTTTAAAACCTTATTCAACATTGACGTTAGTCCATTTTATATAAAGATATGTAGATATGGCCTACCTTACCCACAAAGAAATATATAATTCTATTTGAATCTTCATCTTTTATAAATTCATCGGATTTGAATATAGAAATGGAACAAAATATGAATTGAATTTGAGTTGGGTTTTTGTCTATACAATGATTCATAAAAAAAGCAAAAACACAAAAAGCACATCAAACAGAAACCGCAATAGCTCAATATCGCACGATTACTACTTTAATCTCACAGCACTCACAAAAATGGCTCATGAAACCCCAGCCGTCGCTATTATACCCCTTTCTTCTTTCTATTTCTTTCTTATTTTTTATAATACTTTTTTTTTCGGCCCTCTAATAAAACCTGCTTAGTTCCTTCCAACTACCTCTCTTTCCTTCACTAATCATAAGACCTCCCATTATTACTGGAAAAGATAGCAATTAATGGTACATATGTGGCGAAGCTCTCACATCCCACCCAAAGTAAAATCACACGTTTTGGTCCCGCCACTAATACCACCAGAGTCTTGGTTTTTGTTTAAAAATTAAAATAAACTTTTGCTTTTTAATTAACACAAAAACTAATTAGGGATATATATATATATATATATGTATATAAAAGAAAAAATTAGCTCCGTTTATCTCACTGATTCGAGTTTAAAATTTGAGTTTTGTTACGGTAAAAAACTCTAAAAAACAGTCACATTTCTACAGTAAAAAATTCTTACATAAAATCATATTTTAACTCGAATCAGCAAACTTAACGGACCTTTAATTATTGGGTCCCTTAGTTCATGATTCAATCCTCCACAAGAAGTGCACCTTCAGAGATGTGTACACAAGCTGTCTGCTTTCTGTTTTTCTTTGCATGCATTATATTGTCCTCTACATATGCTTTTCTGGATGGATAGTTTGGAGCTAGCTAGCATTTTTAACATGTCCAATGAGTAGAGGAGGACCCACAATCGTCTGTCCTCTTGTGTGGGTGGGGGAGAGATATTGAACTTGGGTCCCACTCTTTAAGAGGAAAAAAGAAATTAAAAAGAAACACTTAGGGTTGGGGAGGGAAGAGACTGGGAGTTCCTAGCTTAAGGATTTTTTTTTTTTTTTTAGCTTGTTTGGCGTTTTCTCATTGGGGTAAGAGCAGTAGTACTTTTCCATGATTTTTCTTCATATTAATCGCATATAAAATTACATATATATCAAACTTATCGATAGAGAAGAAAAATGTCGTGCAATGTTCTGCGGTGTTGGTTCCCAGTATGTTCCATGAAAGAGTCTTTCAACACTCTTAATGGATCATCTTTATCCATTTCTCCTCAAAACATGACCTTTTACCGATTCCTATACAATTAATGGCTGGGGACCTATATGTTTACATTGCGAAGATTCTAGCTTGTCGACACATGATATATATATATTGTATATGGGACCCCAAGGACCCATTATTTTAGTTTGGGTTTGGACGTGTAAGAATTTGGTTCACACGCACACACACACGTGTTATAACATATGGTATATTTATATATGGCATATGTAAGAGATCTACTTGGAAGTTTGATACGTCTTCACGCTACACACTATAAGGAATAGTAATCAGGATATCTACTATTTATATCTTAGCCTTAAAAAAATGAAGATATGTACTCTAGATTCTAATTCCAAATTAAACCCTGGATTAGGATAATGGATAATTATGGTATGGGCAATGGAAAAACATGTGGCATATGACTGAAGTGCGTGGAGATTGCTTAGCAGCTAGAAAGGAATTTGTGACGGAGATTTCAGTATCAAAACAGCCAAGGCCAAAGGGCATCTAATTTTGTTAGGTTGTACTATTATATATGCTTTATATATGTTAGTTCAAATTAGAAACAAATTAAAAATGAAAGACAAACCATGCAATACTGTATATGCATTCGTATTAAACAACATATATGTGTGTGAGAGAGAAAGAGAGAGATCCCATTTGTATAGCATAATGGTTATAATTAAACACACCTATGAAACACGGGTATGAGTACAAATATTAATTATTTTTACATGGTCAAAAAAATATATTTTTAGTTCAACTAGACTTGTATAACACTGTATATACGTTTTTCTGAATAAAAGAAATACTTGTGTTATCCCGTCTTTTATTCTTTTTGTCTACCGTAAAAATTCAAAAATCCATCAATGAAGCAAAAATGATAGGACTCACTTCCACTCTAAAAAGAAAAATGAATAAGTTGAGTATCATATTCACCAGATTACAAGTTGAATGCTTTATAATCTATCGACCGGATAAAAATCTTAAAGTGTGGTGTGTGGATGTCCATCCTAAACGTTGCACCATCTATTAGTGGTATACGTCTCTTATATCATAGTTCATGATTATACTAAAAGATATATAAGGTGAATATTCCTTAGAGTGATAACCAGCACTGAAATAATAAACAATCATCGATATCAAGAATATACAATTTTTTCTGTCTACCACTCGACATTCGTCAGTAATAACATTAAAAATAATTCACATGAATGGCCAATTGTGGGTATTTATAGTACAAAAGCATTCACCACTTCCGGGCACTTCGGTTAGAAGGAACATATGACTTTGTGCCTTTGTGGTCCTCGCTTGATAATTTAATTAATTAAATGCGAAAGCTACATATAATGGCCATCCCAGTCTACAAGTTGGCGAAGAAAGGGAAATTAATAAAAAAAAAAAGAGTATCTGTTAGAATAAGTACATGTGCAACGTTTATATTTTATAAACATCTTTTAGTAAGAAAAAATCTGGATATTTGTTCAGAATGAGGAGGGCAATTAATTTGATACGGTTCATTGGAATAGTAACTCAGGCTAATTCATATAAGAGGAAATCAGAAATCACCAAACGCTTGTGTAGCAAATAGAATATGGAAGAATTAATAGCATACAGATTACAATTGTCATAATAACATATAGATTAAAGGCGATCATATTACTTAAATCATCTCTAATGTAAATGTTAATATCAATTGTATACTTAGCACTAATTGTATGTGATCATCAGTAATTTCTATGCTATTATGACAATATCAGGAAATAAGAAAGTTGCTAATGACTAGATGTTTCTTAATGTTCAATAAATATATAAATCTAGAGAAAAAGCAACCAGCATAAGAGCTGCCTGAGTCACATTAGCTAATGATATTCTTTATGCTTTTAAATTTTACCATATATCTAAAAAGTCCTTATAATTTCCACCCTTTAATATTAATTTAACTAAAAAAATAAAAACAAATCTTGTTCTGCAATTTTATATTTTTCTTTCCTTATCACCTTTTTTCTCAAATTTGACACACGAATAGTACTGTATTTGAAAGTGTTTTTACACATATTAAATTTATTATTAACATATCGATTATAACATTATCTTACATTAGAAATGCTCT